CCCTTGTCCTGGCTGCTGCAGAGAAGTTGGGTAGTATCCTTGTTGCCCTTGTCCTATCTGTTGCCCTTGTCCTGGTTGCTGCAGAGAAGATGGGTAGTACCCTTGTTGTCCTTGTCCTGACTGATGCAGAGAAGTTGGGTAGTACCCTTGTTGCCCTTGTCCCAGTTCTTGCCATTTGCCTGGCTGTTGCCCTTGTCCTGGCTGTTGTGGAGAAGCTTGGCCTGGATAATATGGCCCCTGCTGAGGAGAACTTACGCTTGGGTAATACCCTTGTACTGTTTGTGAAGATGTTCCCCAAAATATTACTTGTTGGAGTTGCTGCAGTGGTGTGGTCTCGCCAGGGTAGAAGGATCCGCCCTTGGGCGGCACCACGGTTTGCTCATATTGTCTTACGACTTGGCTGACGGCGACGAGACGGCACTTAGCGCTAACATCTCGGAGCTGCTGGCAGCATCGCATCTGGAGCCCCGTGCTCCATGGCAGCCGACCGGCCAACTGTTGGTCCACGACCTGTCGGCATGCCTCAAGCGAGCTCTCCTGGAGCTCGCGCTCACACTGTAGTTGCCTAGAGGCCTCACCTTCAGCAGCAGTGAGAGCCACGAGGGTGATGACTACTGTCGCAAAGAGGACCAACCGCTTAGCCATCTCGATGGACTGTTAGTGAATTGATCTCTATTTTGTGGTGCTCGGTGTTGTGGGTGATGATGAGATTGTGGAGATTGGTTGGGCTTTTATAGGGACGTGGTGAAGGTTCGGGACAATGGTTGTGTGCACGGTGTGGTTAGTTTAGCCTAAGAAGAAACGTGAGAAGAATAAAGTCAGTTGGAAAAGCACAATTTGCCAACACAAAAGAAGCTGGATAAGCAAGGAGCAATTGGAGTTTTGCAAAACAGATTTTTGGACAGTCTGCTAAAGCCACGTAATCGGTTCAATCCTAATTCTGACTTCTGGGTACTGTTTGCAGAAGTGTAGACGTTTGTATATCGATCTGCTATTTTTATCTAAGAGAAGTGGTTATACTTCTTGGGGTTTGGGAGAATATGTGTCTGTTAGCCATTGCTTTTGTAGATCTGCGGTCACTAAAAGCTTCTAAGCATGTCCGACTAATGGAAGGTAGCTTGCATGGATAAGGTAAGTTGATAAATCATCCTTCAAAAGCCCATTTATGTTTGTTTCTTGTCATGTAGTTGGATTTCCAGGCAACACAAATCCATGCTATGACTCACAATATCTATCTAATGAATCACAACATTTATCTGTGCTATGACGCACCGTACCAAAAGCTGGTAGAATTTTTGGACTTATGTAAACACCTTTCGATGACAAAACTCAACTAACTGAAACCTTTGGTCATTCATGTCTAAAATTAACATAGGATCTTCAGAGAAAACTCGCGTCAATTAGTTTGATTTACACCAAAATAGGGGATTTTTCCACTTCCCAAATGAGTTCAAGTAATGTGGATTTAATTGTCCATTATATCCTCCTCCTATGTTTAACCTCTTATGTTCTTCTATGATCTCCATGTGTTTCTTCCCCGCCCCCACCTCTCTGGATGTCCATTGTCTTTCCCTGGCCTCTGTAGACGGCGCACTTCTTCTCTCCTTGGCCTTATCACTTGCAGGCCATCACTAATATTTCCTTATAACTAGATATACCCCACATGTTGTCGCAGAAATGTTTTGCAGTATATTTGAATGAAATTTGGTTATATGAAACATTTATATTTTGAGTAAAAATGTGAGAACCAAAAATGAAAACAATATGATCTATTGTGTTTGATTATTGTATATTTGTGAAATTTTATCAAATAAATAGCCTAGTAAAATGAAAATTTTGATGCATAATTGCATGTTGAAGTGGACATTTTTCCATGCATGCTACATGCTGAGGTGATATGTTTGCATGTTGAGAGGGATATGTTATTTGGATATAGAAGATTACGAATGTGTAACCGCAACTTTGAGTTAGCTGTTTGTTTCTTGTCAATATTAACAACATATAAGAAAATTAAGCTTCATTATCTTTGTTAATTAATACATCACTTTCATCTCCCATCGTCCAACATAATCCAGGTACACTCCTAGTAGGCCCGGGCCAAGGCATGTGCAACCTGTGCGAACCGCACAGGGCCCATGATTTGTAGGGGGGGCGAATTTCAGCCCATACGCTGGAGGCACCCGAGCAAAACCACTCTGAAAAATAAATATATATGGGATATTCCAGCGTTGCTTCTGAGATCGAACCGGCGACCTCACACGAGCCAAAATAAACATTGGCCACCTCAGCTACATTTTCTATGTGAAGCAAAATGGAATAAATGCTACTGGAATTATATAAGACTCCTTGTCCGCTCGACGTTTGTAAACCTTTAAGTCCATAGTTAGCGTTCTTTTTAGTCTTTTCTTGCAGAATAATGATTTGAGGCGTCATGAAGAACAGCTTAGCATACCATCTAAAGAAAGACACCTTAGCTTGGAAGGTATCCTGAAGTGTTTTCCCTTATTGCCTTTATATAGGTAGGTTTTAACGCATTTTTTGATGGAAACGCCATGGGGGGGAATTAAGGCAAATTTTCTAAAATGTTTCAAATATAACTTTGATGAAAAAAGCACTAAGAAATTGTACTCGATCATGGATAACGTTTTGGTCATATGTTGCAGTGCATCTCTTTGCCGGACGTTCTTCTAATGGTAGGCCCATTTTTAGAGTTTGGCACAAGGCCCCTGAGTTTGTCGGCCCGACCCTGACTCCTAATACACATTTTGTGGTTGCTAAATTATGCTTTGTTAACCTTATTCATTGTATCGGCAACAAAAATAGATAGCCCGGCCCCAGTCTGCTTCCTGTAGGTCAACAGGTGCATGCACCCATTTTTCTGTTGAATATGTATTTGAAAAATGTTGAAGAAGTATTTGAAAAATATTGAACAAGTATTTGAAAACTGTTGAATAGGTATTCGAAAAATGTTGAAGAAGTACATATTCAACAGTTTTTAAATACTTGTTAAACATTTTTCAAATACCTATTCAACATTTTTCAAATACTTCTTCAATATTTTTCAAATACCTATTCAACAAAAAAAGAGTGCATGCACCTGTCGGCATAGAGGAAGCAGACTGGAGGCCAATCGGTCAGCAGTGGGCTGACTAGATCCAATCGGTCGGCAATGGGTTGACTAGGGGCCAATCAGCCAGCAGTAGGCCGACTGGATCCAATTGGCTGGCAGTGGGCCGACTGGGGGCCAATCGGCCAGCAGTAGGCCAACTGGGTATTATTTTTAAAAAATATAATTACAACGTAACATTTTTGAAATTTAATTAAAATAATGTATTATTTTAAAATAATTAGCGAAGAATGGAGGCAATTCAATTGGTGTTGCGCCTGCAATTTACAAAGATGTTGACGCTCGGTGTCCTACGGAAGCCAATCAAGTTGCGCATCTTTTAGCTTGTAACTAATTCTAATGTTTCTGTTACTAACAGGTGGCAGCTAAGAATTACGGATAATTAAACGGTTAGATGCGCAACTTTAAAACTTTGAAAGTAAGAATTACGGGATAATTAACCGGTTCTGCCAAGTAAACTCATTTCATTATTCATTGCTCTTTCATTATCACTGTCATTTCCGCATGGAGGATTGTGATTACAGGTCGCACTTATTATCAGAGCTCACACATTGCATCGACCAATCAGCTAGCCTAGTAGTACTGGTCGGCAAAGAAGACGCTACACTCCTGGGGCTCGATCCGGCACGCGGTCGGTAGCCGTACCTTCGTCAACCTCACGCGACCGGCCTGCGGCTTCTGCTGCGCCCCCTCGCCGGAGAATCCTTCTCCCTGCTGCCGCTGCGGCCTCTTGTGACAAAGCACCTGTCCTTGCCGCTGGCCACCACGCCCGACGGTCACCCCGTGGTAGCCTCCTCCCTGCTGCTGGCTTCCTCCTGTCTCACTGCCATACTGACCCCCTTGTACCTCCTGCCGCTGCTCCGCCGTGGACTCACCGGAACATCCCCGCTCTGGTTGACGCTCCCCGGACGAGCCGTGGCGCCCTTCTCCCAGCGGCGGCATGGACTGCTCGTAGTCCCGCACCATGCCGCGGAGCGCGGCGCAGCGGCACTCGCGGCTGACACTCTCGAGCTGCTGGCAGCACCGCTCCCTGGCGTCCGACTGCGCCTGAAACAGCGGGACGCCGAAGGCGCCCTCTCCGGCGCGGCCGGTCAGCTGCTGCTCGAGGATCTGCCGGCACGCGTGGAGCGGCTTCTCCCGGACCTCGCCCCGGCACTGCGCGTCCGCGAGGCGCTGCTCGAGCACGCCTTGGGCAGCGGAGACGGCCACCAGGGCCGCCAGGAACAGCGCGAAGAAGACGAACCTACCCATATTGTTTCCAGTACGAGATGTGGTTGCGTTTCCGATTGTTGTATATTTGTTGTGTGGTGAGATGCTGAAGAGATTGAGATTGAAAATGAGACGATCACGCTGGAGTGACGGATTTTGGAGCTTGCTAAACGATTTCCCGGATGATGTCGGATGAGCTGGAAAGTTGCTTTTACTGCAACAATCTTATCGTGCAAGTATGGATGTACTCAGCATGTAACGTCTTTTGCACTAGTCATGAGTCACGATGATGAGGATCATGTATGGAATTATCCATAATAATAGTTCCTTGAAAAATCTCGTCTATGATAATTGATAATCTTGTTCTGGCTGCATGCATCATTCAAATGTAGAGGCGGCCCGGGGTGATTCTCCTTTTAAAAAATGATAATCTTGTTCGTACTTCGTACACTTTGGAGTGAATTTTGAAGGTTTCTTAAATCTGATATAGGAACAATGCAAAGGGCTAATCAATCAGCTTTAGCTGTACTTTTCCTTGGAGTTTCCCTTGTTTTGAGTGGTATTTCAGGAGGAATTGGCCAACGCTGGGTATCGAAGGTAGAAAGACCACTATGACCATATGGATTCCCTCTTCCAAACCAAAAAACTTAACTGATAAGACGGGAAGATACTTTGATACTACTCCGGTCACTTCAGTGAGGTGCCGCAACGTCGCCTGACCACTGCCCTATTCAACTTCAGTGTGAAGCCAATAAGAAACTTCCATTGCCGATAGGGCACTAGCCTATATGCCGTGGTATGCATGCTTGACTGTCGAAATCATGATAAATTATAGTGAAAACTTCAGTGTGCGAAAAGTATAATGCATGAAGCATGGCAAGACTTGCTCTGGCCGGCGCTTTCTACTTGGTGGATGAGTTTCGGGTTGGCCGGATACAAAGGGCAGTGGTATGTTTAGTCTTGGTTCTGCAGTTATTGTCCCGTACCGTGATGCATGTCTGGTTCACAAGAGTGAAGGTGTCGCCACAGAGTGTAGAAAAAATGACAAGTGTATTCGATGCTGAAAGTGACGATCCTTTTTACTCCCTCCACAAAGAAATATAAGATCATTTAGATCACTACTACTATTTTAGTGATCTAAACGATCTTATATTTCTTTACAGAGGGAGTATCAGTTTACAGATATGCTGGGAGCAATCTATGGAAGGTCAAAATAATAAAGAAAATTTTCTGGTGTTCTTTGTTTTGACAAAATTGACACAAGATGGTGTTCCATTGCTTTTGTCTGAGGCTGGAACTATAGTATGAAGCCCGCGCTTTGCTGCAGATATCATCAGGTGTTTTAGAAAGTTATATCTTGAAATGTGTATATATAAAATTTGTATTTCTGTAATTATAGATTTGCAAAGTTTAAATATTTTTGAAGTGCATATGAAGAAATGAGATGTAAAATTATGGTACATTAGTTTTCTGGCATAGTTATGGCCATTTCAGTGGTAGCATCTTCTGGGAAGTTACAAACTGAATGTTGTGTGCTAACCTAACAATTATCATGCTTCTCATTTTGTTCTAACATGCATTTCTATGAAAAGACATCATTTCACCAAGGGGTGTGTTTTTCCACAAAGACGCATTTTTTCACACAAGGAACGTATCTTTCCAGGAAGATATATCTCTTCACCAAAGAATGCGTCTTTAAACCAAAGGACGTGACTGTGCGTATGTCCCAGTTCTCAAGATCTAATGAACTTGATTGATCTTCGATAATAATCGAAAGATTGCTTCTTTTGGAGTGACGTGGCTTAACATAGATATCCCTAAAAGTCTGTTTTAAAATAAAGAGGATATGTTATAATGTGCCTCAGAAATTTAAAATGCAAACTCATCGTATGGAAAAAAGGGAAACTGCATTTCTAAGCTTTAGATTAAAGGATAAAACGGAACATCTACATATTTAGTCAAAAAATCATTATATTCCAGCCATAACTTCAGCGTAAGAAAAGTATGCATGCCAAGATAATGATGTGCACTCATGTAGACCATATGTTTTATTTCTGTGTTTTCACGGAAAAAGCGGAAATTTCCACTCCGTGAGATAGCTCAGATCCATAGACAATAAGAAACTGCAATTGCCTGATAGGGCACTAGCCCGTCTGCCGTGGTCTTCATGCTTGACTGTCAAAATCATGATAAATTCAGTGAAAACTTCAGTGTGCGAAAAGTATAATGCATGAAGCAAGACCAAGACGAGGACTCGGTTTGCTTGTAGGCGATATATCTTTCAGAATAGACCATACGATTTTTTTTCTACTTCCAAGTAGGTATCTTGCTCTAGTCGGCACATTCTACTCGGTGGACGAATTTCGGGTTGGCCGGATACAAATGGTAGCTGTATTTTAGTCTTGGTTCTGCAGTTACGTACTGTCCCATATCGTGATGTCTGGTTCAAAAAAGTGAAGATGTCACCACAGCGGAAAAAATGACAACTGTTCGATGCTGAAAATGACGATCCTTTTTATCAGTTTACAGATATGCTGGGAGCAATGTATGGAAGGTCAAAATAATAATGGAAGTTTTCTGGTGTTCTTTGTTTTGACAAAAGTGGCACAAGATGGCGTTCCATTGCTTTTGTTTGAGTCTGGAACTATAGGATAAACTAGTGTAAAGCCTGCGCTTTGCTGCAGATATTATTAGGTGTTTTTAGTAAGTTTTATCTTAAAATGCTTATCGGAAAAGCTAAATTACAGTCGACTGTATTTTAGCAACAGATCCAGACGATGTGCGATCCGTCCGATAACCTCGCGCACTCCCGCACTCCCTCCGATAAAACAGGCTGCGCTCTCTACTACTTTCGCTAAAACCACTTCAGATGCACTCCGTAGGCTCGGCCAATCAGAGAAAAAGAGAAACTGAAAAAGGAGGTCCTCTACAGATTCGAAGATGCGTCTCCCCCAACAAGACGCCGTAGACCTCATGCCATAGCCAACTAGTCCAACCACCGTTATTGTACACTATTTGTAAGTCATCCATTTTTATCTCAACTAGCATAGAAACATGAGATACTTTGTAGATTTTTTCATGTGTTTGTATAGTGGTCATCATTGCAGCGCACCATCAATCTTGCAGTTCATGTGATAGGCATAAGGGCATCTCCAACGCTGTGCATCATCAATCTTGCACTTCATGTGATGGGTATAAGGGCATCTTCAACGCTGACCCGTAAATTTCCCACATCTGTCCGAATCGCGATGTCTGGACCACGGAAGCTATCTAATGTGGTCCTGTATCGGTCCATGGTGGGGTACAGACGTACTTTCTCCCGCAAACAGGAGACAAACATGGAGGCTTTGCGGAAGTCTGGACTGCTCCTGCGCCTGCTTCTGACCACCCTGGCCCATCCAAAAACTCCTCCCGCACTTTCCTTTCGATGCACGCGCCGCTTACCGTGCCGTCTTCATGACGCCCTATAGCACGAAGCGGCCGGCATTGATGCCGCTCGACATGACCGGAAGAAGGGTGGTGCTGACCGACGCGACCTCTCGGCAGCATCCGCTTCAATACTGACACAACTTCCCCAGGAACCAACTCCGACCGCTGAGCTGCATTGAAGCAGCCCCTTCGCCTTGGCCTCGTCGAGACCATTTAATCCGTACGACGGCGTCACCCAGAGCCGCACTCAACCTCCCCGACCATCGGCCCCCTCCCCCGTCTTCATGCCCGAGCCCCTCCTCCTCCTCGCCCCTAGCTGAGGCGATGCCGAAGTCATGGTGCTCCGCGCCGACAGGCGGAGTAGGCGAAAGCTCCTCCTTCGGCTGTTCTTGGCGCCGCCGCTCACGCTCTCCGGGCCTGCTGGGTGTCTACGTCGGTCGGCTCCTCTGCCATGGAGGAGATCGTCATTTCCTCCGGTGGCGATGAAGACGCGGCAGCGCCGCAGTTGCCGCGACTCCTCAAGGAGGCCGCTACGGACGAGGATTTCGTCCATCAGATCGGGATAATGACGGAGCGGTCGCTCCGTTACATGGGCCCGTCGCCGCCATCGCCGGCGCGTGTGAAGGAGGAGCAGCCGTCCTGCCGCTCTACCGCATGAATCCCGAGCCGACATCCCCACTCTATCTTGTGAAGGAGGAGTCGGCCTCGCCCCGGCACAACCGCGGCGTCCAGATCAGACGCCGTGTTAAGGAGGAGTCCGCCTCGCACCTGCACCACCGCGGAGTCCAGATCAGACGCCTGGTCAAGGAGGAGTCGGCGTCCCTGCCACATCGTCGGTAGGGCCGCCTGGACGCACCATCATCGTCGTCGCGCCGCCACCGCCTCACCGCCAAGGAGGAGCTGCCACCCGCGATCAAGAAGGCACGGGTCCTCCTGCTCCACTACCTCGGAGGAGGCGGCGGGGTGATGAAATATACCCCGGGTAACTTTTGTGTGAATAGGATGGTAACTTACACATCGCAAACCTGATAACTTATATACCCCACTCTTGGTAACTTTAGCGTGGGAAGGGGGCAGGGGTGGTTGATGAAATATCCCCTTGTAAGATTTATGTGAATAGCATGGTAACTCACACATCGCAGACCTGATAACTTATGTACCCCGGTGCTGATAACTTTGGCATGATGTGTGTGTGTGTGTAGGGGTGATGATGAAATATACCACCGTTAACTTTTGTGTGAATAGCATGGTAACTCACACATCGCACACCTGATAACTTATGTACCTCGTGAAAGAACATGCGGTGCCCCCATGTTTGGTTTTGGTAATTGATGACAATCTCTATGGACTAATGGTTTCCTTGAGTTATATTTGAAGTGTTTGTCCATAGGCTTTTCTTGGAGTCCATGTGTTGGTTTCAAGGAGAGTTTGTGATGACCACGGTGCTATTAAGGAATTATCCAAAGATCGGTCATGTGAGTGTTGAGCTTATTGCAAGCATGTCTTGAAGAATAAGATTGTGTGATCCTTCATGTCCACCTTCAAGACATCATTCAAATGAAGAGAGTTGAAAAGATTCAACACACAAAGCGCACAAGATGTACCGAGGGATC